TTCGTCAATTTGCTTTATCATTACATTTTTTTCTGCTAAAGCATATTCGTATGTAAGACAGCAGTTTGACACGATTTTGCCTCATAGTAGAACTCTTAGTAAATGGTACAGAAATGTCAATGCTGAACCGGGTTTTACTGAAGAGTCGTTAAAGATGCTAACACTTAAAGTAAATAATTCACCCCATCCTATTTTATTAGCTTTGTCTATGGATGAAATGGCTATAASACAACACCTGGAATTTGATGGTACTAAGTATTATGGAAGGGTGGATATGGGAAATCATATGGATGATGATAGTTTAAACACAGCTAAACAATGTTTAGTTTTTATGGCAGTCTCGGTAAATGAGAATTGGAASTTACCAATTGGTTATTTTGTAGTGGATGCTTTAAAAAGAGCACAAAAAGTTGAACTAGTTCGCCACGCATTAAATGTATTGAACAGCACTGGTGTAAAAGTCTTGAGCTTAACATTTGATGGTTGTTATAGTAATATTAGTGCAGCTCAACTTTTAGGTTGTAATTATGTTTTGAGTGCATTTTCTTCTGGCTTTGAAAGTAATCCAAAAATTGTAACMCTTTTTGACCCTGCATATATGATCAAATTGGTTCGTAATGCTTTTGGTGAAAAGAAGGTCTTTAGAGATAGTACAAATAATGAAACAAAATTTGAATATGTCCGATAATTGTGTTATTTGCAAGAGAAGGAAGGATGCCATCTTGCTAATAAACTGCGAAAACAACATCTTCTTTATTTTAAACAAAAGATGAAAGTAAAACTTGCAACCCAATTATACTTAGTCAGTCAGTAGCAGATGCATTGACATTTTGCAAAGATAGCCTCAAACTAAAAGAGTTTTCTAATGCAGGTGCTACCATACAATTTATCGAACTCTTTAATACTGGATTTGACATATTAAACTCAAAATCTATCAACTGTGTAGGATTTAAAAAAGCACTTTGTGAAGAAAACATTCTAGAAGTTAGATTGTTCACAGAAAAAGTGACAACGTATATTAAAGGTCTTAAAATTCAAGATAGACCAAGAGTTTTTACACCCGTACTTGAATCACAACGAAATATTGGGTTTCTTGGATTTATAGTCAGTTTAAATAGTATTTTACAGCTTACTTCGTTTGTGGAAACTGATGTTTTACAACATATGAAAATTTATAAATTTAGCCAAAATCACCTAGAACTGTTTTTCG